CACTTCAGAACACACTGCAGGAGCTATACAAGGCTGCTTGGTATATTTCAATTAATCATCTTGCCCTCATCCCATCTGCCACCTCTTTGCTTTGGTCTGGCTCGCCCAGCTCCCAGTTTCAGAGCACTCAGTGCAGAAGAGCAAATTGAATCCAATCTCTCAGCACAAGCTCTAGCATCTGCTGGGCCACACTGGGATCCCAGCACGGCTGCTCAGTCCCAGCCTCATCTCTCTTGTTTGTACCACAGCTCCCATTGGACCAAATGAAGAATATATTCATTGATTTGTACCTGAACTCGGAAGTTGCACATGCACTGCGTTAGAAATAACCAAAATAGCTCTGCTCTGTGTGGAAGTACCTTTGGACTGTGTCATGTCATTGTTTGCAGGGCAGCAAAGCCAGGAGCCCCAGCTCACCCTGGGAGCTCATCTCTGCAGGTCAGAAGCAAGTGAGAGATGCAAGTGCATAAGTGGAGGGATGGGAAAGCAAAACAGAAAAAGATAGGCAAAATTCCAAGGCTTATATCATGTGTTCCTTTGAATAAGAACCACATTTATATGAGAGTTAACATTCCTTAAAAGCTAGCAAAATTTAAACAGAAGTAAAGAATCAGAGCAGTGTGTTTACCTCCATCAGTCTTATCTGGTTTTTATAACAGAATTTCTCAGCAATTCATAAGTTTTAAAGAAGATGCTTTTAAAATCATAACCACGATGTTTGATTTGTCACAGGTACTGAGGCCAGGGTGTTTTCTGGCACAACAGCCAGAGCAGGAGGCCAGGGCAGGAGGAGGCAGCACTGGAGTCAGGCAGTTCCAAGCACTCTCTGATGAAGAGGATGGAGTCCCAACAGCCCCAAGCTGCCCTTTGATACCACAGGCAGCTCGTTGCTGAGTTTTGTCCTGTGTTTGCCCCTGGGGAACACCTTGTCCTGCATAGCCTCTCTCTGCATTGGCCATTCATGGGTTTCAGCAATGGTGCGCAGCAGTTCTTTAAATGAGATATAACTGTACCAAATGAGATATAACTGTACCAAAATCAACTCAGTGAAATGATGAATCTGGGTAAACGAATGGAAATCCTAATATCCACCAGCCCAGTTCCACTCTGCTTTCTTTTGGAGGATGCTACCTCAGGCATTCACTTATTTGACATTCATTACTTTTTCTGGAGCCCAGCTGCATTGGCTCTACCCCTTATTTCTTCTCCTCACAGCACAAGTCATTTTGATGCCTGCATAGCTCTGAAACAGAGCAGCCATTTCTTCCTGCTCTGCTAAGCCTGGTCCTTCTGCTGGAGAAAATTCATGTGCCTACTGTTCCCATCCATGCCTGGAAAGGGGGAGGGCTGGGCTATGTTTAATAAAAAATATCTTACACTGTTTACTGACCAAAGAGTTGTTCGACAGATGCTCCATTCTTAGCCATACTTAAATTATTCCCTAAGCAAACAATACAAACTGCACACTTCATCTTACCCAACACAAAAATAAACAGAACATGCAAAATATATGGTTCTGGTTTAAGTTCCCATATAAAGAACACTGATTTCTACTTTGCTTAAATATTTTCTGTATAATGTTTACTTGGTAATTTATTCTTTTACTGTGTACAACAAATTAAATGTCAGAACCTGTTTATTTTATGAATTTTTAAGACTAATAGTGAGTCTCCTATTTCAGCTTAAATAATGTTGTTGATGAGATACGTCTTGATGGATTGTATAAATAAAGCCAGATACAGAGATTAAAAGAACAAGAGTTAGGTTTTTTTCCTTGTTTTTCTTAGTTTACCAAAGAGGCAAGTCAATAAGGAAAAGAGCTCTATTTTCCCTAAAACTTCTCAGGTGTTTGGGTCTCTTGTAGAGGTAAGAAAAGTCATTACCTGCAAGATCACTGCAGATCTGCTTTGGGTCCTCCTACCACATCCCCCTGTGTCCTGTCTCGGATGCAGTCAGGAGCTGGAGGGATGGGGTGGGGCTGGAGCTGGGTGTCCCAGGGCACTGGGAGCAGCCCCCTCCATCTCCCAGTATGGCTCTGGGGCCCCTGGGACACCAGGCTGGGAGCCACTGAGGACAGTGCAAACCACAGAGCCCCTGCTCCTTCCAGCCAGGGATGCCTTGGAGGGCTGGATCCTGCCACTCCCAGAACAACCTGCCCAAGTGGCCACTCTCCAGATGAGATGTAGGTCAGAGGAGTGTTAAAGAACACAGAACCATGGAGTGGTTTGGGTAGGAAGGGATCTTACAGATCATCCTGTTCCAACCCCCTGCCACGGGCAGGGACACCTCCCACTAGACCAGTTTGATCAGAAATGGTAACAAAGCTGACAGGATTCATGCAAAATGGCTCCTTTATTTAAATAACTCTTTTACCAACGTTTGTTTCTTATGCAGCAGCAATGCTAAGAGGGAGAGAACATCTCTTGGATCTTCTTCTCACTAACACATTCCAAACTCAAGAGAAAAGACCTGTAACTGAGACAAAGAGGATTTCCTTTAGTTCTTTTTGTATCCATGTAGGTTGCTGAGTCTTTTCTCAGTGAATTACAATAGATCACTCAGCTCAGGATCTCTTTACAGTCTTCTGGAATTAGTTCCACTAAAAAGAGATGGAAATATTCCATTCATGCAAGGGGTTAGGAGAAGATTCAAACACTCAGCGTGAAAATGAGCAGTTCATAAGAACAAAATTACTATTTCCTCTCCACCCTGCCACCAAATCTGCAGCCAGTAGTGGGCTCAACCAGCTGAAGTTAAGGGCTGTCTCACGTTTCATGGGAGCTGAAGGAGTCACCCATCATCATCTGTTGGGGGTCAGACCAGATACTGAGAAGACCTCAAGGCTCACGTAGGGGCTGGGATCCCAGCAGGAGATGGGAACAGCCCTTGGGAAGGAGCTGAGGTCCAACCTCCCCTGTCAGAGCACCCCCAACCCCACCCAGCTCATGCTCCAAGGAAACAGGGATAGCTCTGTTGTGCTGCTCTGCTGCTGGGAAAGCCAAACACACTCTCATTCCTGTGCATTGGTTACTGCCTGAGTCTGCTCTCCACTGATGGACTGAGCTGTGTGACAACACTGCCTGAGGGTTCAGAGCTATCATCGAGGGAAGTGGCACATTCAGGGCTTGTTCACTGGGACTCCGAGCTGGAAAATGCTTTCAAAATCCACTGAGTAGAAATATAGAGCAGCAGAAGAAATGCTGCCACAGTAGGGACGGAGAAAGACACCTGTGTCTTCATCCAGAAAAGCCAATTTTTATTCTTCACAGCTCATATTTTTATGGTTTTCTAAGGCATCATGTTTAATTCTAATTGGTTAGTAACTTATGGCAGTTCAGTTCATTGGTTAGTAATGGCTAGTGTACGTGTCCATCAAAAACTTTGGTCTCCAGGGATGTTTACCTTCTTGTTTCCTGGGAAAAAGATGTTTCACATGGGTAGAATCCTTCTTCTCACAGGTGCAAATTGGTTCCCACAGGAATAGATTGTTATGCAAGCTGATTCTCACTGTTACAATTCCTTTCTCTCAGGGACTTATCAGTCTAGCTGTTAGCTGTACCCAGCCAAAGCAGCAAATCCTGAGCCATGATTTTACAAGGCCTTTCTTTTTTGTCAGGTTTTACTCATATCCCACAAAATACATCATAAAATGACACTTTGAACATCACTGTCAACAGACCCAGTATCACAAATACTTTTATGGCATGTTTGCTTGAGAAAGAGACTGTGAAAGGCATTATCCTGTGAATGTTGGTATATTTTCTTCTGCAGGATGATACAGCACAGACCTATCAATGCAAGCCCCAAGGCTGGAGCAACCCAGATTATCTTGAATATCAAAATGTACAATCATGCATCGCCTGCAAAGGCAAAAAGATCACTTGGCATTGAGTAACTACAGCCTCATTATCATTGTAACTTAATTATTATTTTTACTGCAAAGCATTTCCCAGTGTCAGACCCACAATCATCTCTGAGTAAGAGGTTTATATTCCTCTTCCTGTAAATCAAACTTGGAACAAATAAAATTTTATGAAACTTCGCTGACCTCCTGCTGTTGCTTCTGCATTAGCTTGCCCCAGCCAAATCCCCGTGTGTCCTCTTGGACAAACAGTCCAAGTCCTTCCACCAAAATTACACACTAAATTTGCAGACCCCTTGTTTTTCACTATTCCATTAGAGAGTAGAAACAGCATAAGACTTATATAAGGAGTGACCCCAAAACATGAGAAACTTGCAACCTCTGCACAGATCACCTCTGAACTTGCAAAGGGCTCAGTTAGTTGGCTAACAGAAATATTTACCCAGCTAGAGGGAAAATACTCAGCCACAGATTTTTATCTAACAGTGTCTCTAGTGACAGCTCAACATGGAATTTGTACTCAAAGGGGTAATTTAACTTCAACAAGCTTTTTCTACAAAGAACACTGAAAATTGCACTTTCTCTGGTCGATGCTTTCATTGTTTCTGGAATAATGTTCTCTTAGTGTATAGAAGATTACTCATAGTTTGTTACTCATATTATTTACAGACATAGGTCTCAACACATACCCAGGTATTGTGTGTACCACTGAGATGCTGGAAAGAAAAACTGCTGAGATTTCCACCTCTCCAAGAGGGAGAGAGGTTTGAACCAGTTCCCAGATGTCACATGACAGTTAAAATAGAATTATACTCATGTTTTTATTCAAATAACTACTCTAAAATTACAAAAGATAAGTACTACCTTTCAGCATGAATAAACTTGAATACATGCTAAAAATAATCCCACATTAACTCCTGAAGTCGCTGCCTTCTGGAAGGTGTAAATGGATAGAGCTTGCTCTAGATGTTTTACATAACCACATGTCAAAAAATTCAATAGAACAAAAATTGCATATCTGAAAACTGGATCTGCAGCTATTTGAGAGGTAGTGTCACTTATTTTTTTTTTTTTAAACAGCAACTCAAATCTTTTATCTAAGATGAAGATTTTTAATGCAAATAATTTTTTTTTCCTCTGGTGGCATAAAAAATTTAGGGGATGGACAAAAAGGTCTAAAAGAGTCTAGGGATTAAGGTACAATTTTCTCACCCTCACTTAGAACCATTTGTACTTAAGAATGTGAGTAGCTCTGATGAAATCAATGAATTCCACTGCAGAGAAAGGGACAACTCAAAATCAGGAGGGCAAGTAGTGTCTGAGCCACTTGTAATAAATGTCTTGTAATAAATGTCTTCCAGTGGCAGACTGTGGTTCCAGCTATAAACCAGAATCCTCTCCTTTTTTTATTTTTGCATATCACAGCAGATTTTTACCTGAGCCAGCTGGTAACAGCACAGGACATCACCTTTTGGCTCTGCTGCCATGGAGGATTCTGAGGCTGCTGCAAGCTCAGAGAGGAGTTATTTACTATCTATCACTTATTTCTTATAAATTTCTCTCAACACAGCTGTGCGTGGCACGGGGCAGAGGGACAGCACAGCAAAGCTGCAGCAGCTGTCAGGGAGTTTCTTGAGGAAGGGCAGGGCTGGGCTGTGTGTGTTTCTCACAACCAGAGGATAATTTCCATCCTTGATTCAGGCATTGCTTTCAGAACATACATTTCACCAGCAGAATGTCTGGAACTGTGAATAATAAAAGAAGCATTAACCCAAGTACACAGATTACAAGATACAGCACAAACAGCTTCATTTTATATGCAAGGGTGGGTTCTGTAAATCCAAGTAAAGCAATATCATAAGTAGGCAAAATACAATACAAAATGAATTTGTAAGTATTAAGCAAAGAGTTTGAGAACTACTGCAAATGGCAACTTCTGAGCATTTAAAATGTGAAAGATTATGCCTTACTGGAACAGAATTCCTCAGGACTCATCATTTGGGCTGTAGTGTCAAGCACAGAATCTCTAAATACCTTGGCCTCACTCTGACACTTCTGTACACATCATAATTACAAAGACATGTTTTCAAAAATTATGGTATATATTATTATAGAACAGTTGTACTTCCCAACAGTATAGTGGTATCCAAATTCCAAGCTGATAAATGTGCAGTGAGACTCCTTAATGTTACTCAAAGTTCCAGTGTCAGGGAGGAAATTACTTACTGGACCAGTTCCCAGAGAGAGTTTGTAAATTCATTTGGGGTCCCTAAACACTGTGCATGTGAGCTGGTTTTCAATATGTTACAAGGCTCAACACTGAATAATTGGGGAAAGAAATTCCCTGTAAAGATCCCAGGATTGGATAGCCTTTCCAACACAGAGTCTTCCCCTGTAATGTTCAACTCAACATCCATAACTGGTAGGACAGACTGACTTAACTTTTTGTTACTGAGATTATTCAGCTCATAACTCCACAGCTCTCACTGCTCTGAGCTGGTTCTGCTCTGATGACTTCACCCCCTGAAGTATAAATGCCTGCCTCATTTGGACATCAAATACCATGCACTGGGGGTGGGAGGGTTTTGAAGGTCCACAGCTCACCCTTCTGTGTTCTGACACGCATCAGAAATTCTCCCTGCTCCAACTGGAGCAGAGAAATCCCAGCACAGGCTCTTTCACAGCCAGTTACTGCAGTCATGCATTTGTAAATCATTCTCAGCTGTGGATATTTATGATTCAAACATTTCTTCTTTTATCAATAAACATCCTTCAAAGCTGAGCCTTTGCTCTGTAACTAACTTGAATTTAACAAGCAAATTTTAGGCCTTTTTTAAAGACCCAAACAATATGAATGTACAGTTAAGAATCTTTATCTTTGCAATCAGTCATTTGTCATCATTTTCGTTCTCTCTACTTTCAATTTTTAGCAGAACTGTGTGATATTATGTCTTACATAATACAGACTGGATAATTACCAAATGTCCCATTTGTTGTAGGTCATTCCCACAGCTGCTGATGCTTAAACTCTTGCCTCCTGTTTCTCCATGAGCAGGCATCCTACCAAGTTTTGATGCACAAAAAAAAATGGGTAGAGAAAAAAAATTGAAAAAAAAAAAAAAAAAAAAAAAAAAAAAAGAAAAAAAGAAAAAGAAAAAGAAAAAGAAAAAAAAAAGAAAAAGAAAACGAAAAAGAAAAAGAAAAAGAAAAAGAAAAAGAAAAAGAAAAAGAAAAAGAAAAAGAAAGTTTTGAACTACCAGAGCAAAACATTTTAATTAGACTTGATAAATAAATCAGTTCAAAGAAGTATCAGAATCTTTCATGAGATGGCAAAATTTATCCAGCTGTGAATTTGAGGAGTGGATGCCAAAGGCAGCCTGGAGTCTGGAGGAGAGACAGGAAATTATATAAACAGCTGCAGGAGAAGAGGGGTTATTTTATTTACATGAGACATGATAAGCAGCACGGCCCCTGGCACAGGGATTCACAAGGAAATTCACATTGCAGGACTGTCAGGGACTGACACTTTGGATCTTGAGGCACAGAATTCCTGGGGCTCCCACAGCCTCGTGTTTGGGAGGAGGTAATGAGAGCATTTGGTGAGCAAAGCCAGTCATGGCTCAGTGGGAAAGGCACATTGTCATGTCAAACTATGAAGATGCAGAACTTCCAGGAGGGTTTCTTTTTCTTTTTTCCTGCAGTTGTTTTGTTTAGCCAAGTATAATCTGTATTTTAAAGCAAACAAGATGGTGATAACCAATGGGTCACCTCATTCTCTCACAAGGGCTTTGTGAAAGGGGAAAGTTATTGTGCTGCCTCACCAGAAAAGATGGTGATTTGAGTAAGTCAGCTCAATTGTCTGAACAATGTTCTGCAAACGAGTGAAAAAAAATTGTATCAGAGAACAAAGGATGAGTCACGCAGAATTACTCAATAAGAAACAGCAAGTCAACTTCCATAGGATTTGGGTGATGTGGATATCTCCTGAAATTATGCTTCACTGCAGCATCAGTCATGATGGAAACAAGACACACAGCAGTGAAAATACTCTGTCATTCCGTAAGTGGAAAATTTCAGGTGACAAAAACCAAAGCACAACTCAGTCACAATGTATTTCAGATAGCTCGTGTAGACTCTGCAAAGTGAGCCCAGAAATCTCCCAGAGAAGTCTGAGGGGCAGTGATGCTTTACCCACCAAACCCTCAGGAACAAGAGACTGATGGCAGGAATGATTGAGGCTGGATTTTGACACTTGAGCATACATAGAGTAGGTGTAGAGAAGATTACAGTTATGCACACAGATGGAAGAAGGAGATCACTGGAGAACAGAAGTGTGACAGTATTAAGACAGATAAAGTAATTTATTTTATAGGAAATGATTATGCAGCTGAGAATTATGGTGTGATTTCTTTTCCATCAAAGTGAAAAGGAAAGAATATCTGATTTTATTCCACATGATCCACAAGATGTGTCATGTGCTTCTGATGGAGTCAGAGACATGAAATGGTTTAGAGAGTGGGTGAGCATTTGGATTTCTACCTGATTGACAATGTGCAAGTCAGGGAATTGGCCCAGCATCAATGAGTATCTCATTAATTTTGGCATTAAATACTGTCAACATTGAAGGAAGAAAGTCATGTAACAGGTTCACAATCAAGACGTTGCCCTATATTTGAAGAATCAGCATTCAAATTAATATAATTTTACTAATTCCCTGTCACAGGCTTTGCCCTGTGGAAGCTGAAACAGTTCTTATGGTTAAAAGTGGGGTTTTTTTAACCAGTGTTTCTCAGTGTCCACTTAATCTAGTGAGAAAACATTAAAAAACCCCAAAACTCTGCTGGCACTCACCCACTGGGAATTATCTTGATGTCAGCAAGAGCTTCCACCAAATCTGCCACAACAGGGTCTTCTGCTCAGAATTACAGGATTTTGTATTGCTTTCCAGCACAGATCAGAAAATATTCTGCATTCAGGTGCTAATGTTTCTGTCTTTTGTCCCAGGTAAGGTGTGCACAAAGCAGGGCTGATTCCCGCAGCAGAAGGGTTTGTATTCGTTGTGTTCTGGCATGCTGAGGCCAAATTCTTTCTTTAGACAACCCAGTTCTACAGAAATTAAAATATAAAATCTGGAATTCTGCTTGAACAAGATGGAAGAAAACGAGTCTTTAAGGAGGAGAAGCAATTTGAGGTAGCTCAAAACTATTTCAGAAATTAATTGACTTTGAAATAATTGGCAATGCTATCTAGGCACCAAGTAGGCAATTATTTATTTTATGAAGTAAGACATCTAAGGGATGTTGAAATTGGAGAGCAGAATACTTGTATAAAATATATGGGTTTTCCTGCTAGTTTTCCATAATGTTATCTGTAAAACACATACACACAGTGCAAAGGCATCAGAGCCTTTTTGTGTATTCTTCCTCTGCACATTAGAGATGGAGATATTAAGAGCTGAGCAAATTGTCAAAGGAAATGTATATGCCTAAATTCTCTTTGTTTGAGTAGACTACATATTTTCTGAGGATCTGAGTCCAGAGACACCAGATGGTTCTTTTTTCTCAGATATTTAGGCACCTACACATGCAAATAGGTGCCCAGCAGTATTTTCAAGCATGTCCAATGCTTCATTCTCTAAATAAGCATTAAAAATATTGATGTAACATTTTCATCCTACGATTTTTTTTTTCTCTGAAATATCAAAGGAAAAAATACTTCTATGGAAATTTTTAACTGAAGAGATGAGCACCCCCAGGCTACAGAGGGGGACCACACAGATATTTCTGCCAAATACAACACTAGACAGTTGAAAGAGATGGCAGCAGCTCTAGGAACAACCTGGCACTGGAGGAGTTAAAAAATGCAATTACAGAGAGATTAACAGCTTCAGCCAAATTTAGTTGTGTTGCAACCATGTAGTTAAACATCTCTGTCCCTCCCTACCTTCCAGTATTCCCCAAAACTGAATGGGGACACAAAAATACACTTGGGAGGGGTAATTTGAAGTTCAGCTGATATTTACCCTACAAAAAATCAGCAAAAAACCCTGAACCCCAAGAAGAGAAGAAGGAAGCAACTCAGAGAGGAGAAGATGAGAAGTATAAACACTAAACAAAAATACCGAATTTACTCCCCCTTTTCTAGGACCATGGATCTTGTGTAGCTTAATGACACAGCTTAACAGCCTGTGCTGGGCTCTGCTGAAGAGGAATAGGGTGTTATTTCTGTTCTTGAGAAGAATATATGTTAAGAAGAATATATGATGTTTTGTCCTAGAGATACTTTTTTTTAGATTCCTGATACTTGAGTAAATTGATTTATAGCAAAATACAGAGGAAGATGGTCTTGGGGAACAATTAGGGAGTTTTAAAATGCAACAAAAAGTTACAAGGAAAAAAAAATCTCTTTGCTATAATTGATAGTTTTGTCTCAAAGGGAATTAACAGAATTTTATGACTTTGATCTTCTGAAGAATGAGGTTCTTAACTTCATTAGTCATTTTGCTTCAGTTTCAGCATAGATGCCACAAGAGAGAAACCCCCAGCCTTTTAAAAGAGGCAATCCTCCTACATTTGTCACAGCTGCCCTACTGAAGTTCAGTTCAAGAGATCAATTAGAGATTTTGTGCAGAAAATCCATTATAATTAATGAGCATTGATAATTAATGGCTGGCCTGATGTAGCCTTTGAGAAGGATCATAGATTTTCTCCTTATGATCTTAATGCAACAATTTCACTTTATGATCACAACCTTTCTATCTACTTAAAAACTTAGCAATGGGTTAAATGATAGCAGGAGTTAGATAATTCCACTATTAACCAAAGTTAAAAGCTCTTTAGTTTGCTGTTCTTGGAGACTGCACTAACTGTTCTGATTGTGAAGCATGAATTTTAATAACAATACTGTACTGTACTCCTCACCTGCATAGGTTTAGAACTAATTAAAATACAACAGGAATGTATCTGCTTCTATCTAGGCAAGGAACATGACTGAGTAACAACATCTTCCATCACCTCAAAAGAGCCATCTCTTGCTAACACTGCTTTCCTCTGCAAAATTAAAAATCAGGTAAAGTTTTTACTTTGCTAATGGGGGAAATTAGTTGCAAGTATTTATATTTGCTTTATATTTCATGCAGTTTTATGAGCACTGTTACAGGTGGGAAAAAGAAAATACTGTCTTTCTAACTGATAGTGGAGTTTGAGTTTCTCAAATTTATTTCCATGAAATCATGGCAATGGAATTAAAACCAATTTTCTTGCTCCATGAAAGAGCAGGTATTCCCAGAAGCAATAAGATCTTAGATAACTAAAATAACCCTTGTCACACCCTGATAGATTTTATTGGCAGGTACATTCAATAAGCTCAAGGAGCAGAGCGGCGTTGCCGAGTATTTTAAATGCAGGCGAACCCAATGGGAAGAAATGACAATGTCTGACTGCATTCAGAAGGCTGAATTATTTCTTTATTATAACTATGCTAAAATACATTAATATACTATACAAAAGGAGGATACTAAAACTACATACTACTTTCTCTGACTCTAACACCACTCGTGACCCTCTCTGAGAGCCCAGCCCCAGGTGGGTTGGATTGGCCATCAGCTCAAACAATCCTCACCAGAATCCAACCAAGCAACACCCCAGGTAAACAATTCTCCAAACATATTCCACATGGGAAAACAAGGAGCGGAAATAGAAATTGTTTTCTCTTTCATTTCTCTCTGTGCACCTCTGTGAAAAATCCTGAGAGAGAGGAATGTGCTGCCACAGCCGAGGGCATTTCCAGCTTTGCTGGGGTGGGCAGTGAGGAGCAGGGCAGGAGCATTTCTCCAAGGCTTCCCAAGGCACAGGCTGCTCCTGCACGCTGCTCTGCCATCCCTGTGGCAGCGTGGGCAGGCACCTTGCCTTGATTACTGCTAATTACACAGAGCCAAAGGCACGGAGCTGTCACAGCTGGGGAAGGACACGGAGGACGCAGGGGACCCAGGGGGGTGAGCTGTGCCAGCCCCGGGGATGAGGGAGGGTGGATTCCCTCCTGCAGGCATTGCCAGATGCGCTTCCCACTCACAAATCTCCTTTTCCACCTCTCCCTGGCAGCTGGGCTTTCCTCTGCTCTGGCTCTCCACCAAGGTCTGACCAGCAGCCTCTGACACGAACAAGGAGAGGCTGCTCCAGGGTTTGTGGAGACACTGAGGAATCTGGATCACCAGAAAAAATTCACCTGATTCAAGGCTGGGTCTGCTCAGGCAGGGACAGTGCATTGTCGCTTCTATAATAAAATTTATCTGAAATAGAAAGTGCTGACAATATGTAAATATGTAACATTTGTATTATCAAATCGCTCTCTGGGATTCAGACTCCACTACAGAACAAGGGATAAACAGACAAAGAAACCTGATGTACAGGTGTAAGAGCCTTTTGTCTCCCTTTTAGTGTGAATATCTTCAGTAAGCAGCACAAATCTTTCAGATCAGCTCTTCTGTAGGAATGGAAATTACAAATTTACCCTTCTCTTGTACATCTGCAGGTGTTTTTAGAGAGCAGAAAAATAAGGATGAGGTTTCTTTTATCAATTAAAGACTTTATAAAAAGAAATTGAAACAAAGTTTTTGTTCTGTCATGCTTAATTTACTTCAGTTTGGGCACACAATATTTCAGCTGATGGAAACCTGGTCTCAACTGAGGACAGACCATCCCCTGCTATGGGCAGGCCCTGTTTTCAGAGGTGTTCTGTGTGTTTTAGGGGAGGTTTCTATCATAACATCAAAAAGACCCTGGAGTTAAAAACAAGCAATGTGATTTCTTGAGTCAGACTGCTCTGAATGACAAATTAGAAATCACAAAACTGCTTTTCTTTATCAAGCAGCACACAGGCAATTAAACTCCCCAATCCCTGGCCTGGTGGGGAACACTGTGTTCAATTTTCCTTTAATTTTTTCACAGTCATAGATGGAAATACATCTTAAAGCAGTAGCCAGCCACACTGAAGGACTGGTGCTCCAGTGGGATGATGGTATAACTTTCCAGAGAGTGTCAACAGCTTATTAAGATTTCAGCTTCATCACCCCCAGGGTTCAGCTCCATCTTCCACCCTATTTTAGATGGTTCTTTAGTCTTTTTTTTTTTTTTTTTTTATTTTTTTTTGTTATCTCCATATGTTTAAAATTAACGAGGACAACGACGAGGACGACGACAACAACAAAAAAAGGTTCTATTCACAAGACTCAAATCCATTGTTAATTTAGTTCTCCTCTACTCTTAAGGAACAATAGTGTGTATCTGAAAGAGCAGAGAGGGAAGTTCTACTGCTGTTTTTTTTTTTTTTTTTTTAATCTTTTAACCACATCAGAGCACCTTGCTACCTTTACTGATTAATCCTCTGGATCCCTGCAGGGTAAGGAAGTATTACCAAGTCTGTTTTTCAAACTAAGGAGGAGTTTGCAAACTGAGATATTGCAAAATAGACATCTTGTTGCCCAGAACATGACCAGAGACACCCAGGTTTGGCATGCAGGCAGGGAGGCAGGAACACCATGGGCTGGGAAATAACTTCCCTCTGCATGTCATGGGGATCTCCCAGGTTTAATAACTCACCTTATTGCTTGCTGTTGACTCCCCTCAGAATTTGCAGTTAATATCAACCTTAAGAAAAACAGAGTAAAAATCAATGACCAGAGAAGAAAGAGGAGCCCCATCTCCCCAGGCTGTCACCTGCTGCCTGACAGCCACAGCTGCCCACCCCTGACAGACCCTGCCCAGGGCTCAGAAAGAGAGGAGGAAGAATTTCTGACGCCAGACAGGTGAGTTCTACCAGCAAGAAGCCATAAATAAAGACATCCTGGTAATAAAAGAACCCTGTGATGATCTGTGAAGCTTCACAACAATCCTTGGCTCACCCCAAACACCTGATACTGGCAAAATTAATGTAGGAGGGCGATGCCAGAGGATTTCTGCCTGAGAGTTCAACACTTTTTCAAGAGATGATGGTGACCCCCAGCCATTCTTGGTCTGAATTCCTACAATGAAGTTAACATTACAGTTAAATAGGAAGTTTTGCAGCATACCAGTGCACAGTGCACATAAAAACTAACAGTGCACATAAAAACTAACAGTGCACATACTGCCAGTGCACATAAAAGCTAACAAAATCAGCCACTAAATGGAACCAGTGGAACAGGCAGGAGGAGGGTTATACACACAGGTAGGGGATATCTTTTGTGCAGCAACCTGGAGGAAGACTGCTTTTAATCTTTTCGAGAAGAGACATGAATAGGAGACAGGTGAGAAGCACAATTTTCCACAGCCTCCCCAAATCTCCTTCTGATCTCCAGAGGATCTATTCAGGATGGGACTGATACTGCCTCTTGTTCATATTGCAAGTTGGTGAGGGACTGTAACACCAGAAGCAAACTGTATTCAAAACTGAAACCTTGTAGTGAGTTGCAACCCTTCATCCTTTCTTTTCTTACTGAAACTCAACCCCCAGTAATTTGGGTTAAACGCTGGCCGTGCAGAGCCAGTGAACAGCACACAGCCTTGTCACTGCACACTGCTGCCCTTGGAGCTCCTCCCTGTCCCAGAGAGAGCCCAGGAGCATCCTGTGCTGCCGGGCCAGCACTGCCCTGCTCCTGAGCCAGCCATGCAGGCAGCACCCCAGGGCCCAGCCGAGGCTGAGCTGGCAGCCCTGGGCTGGGTGAGGCTTTTCTCCTGCTGCAGAGCCCAGCCCAGCATCCAGGGCCCCTTTTGTTCCCAGCTCAGCTGACAAAGCAGCTCTGTTTGACTCGGGATCTGCTGGAGTGTAAAAGAGGAATCAAAGACAACTTTACAACCTTTCTCTACAATTAAGCCTTTTGCTTTTTCTCCCAGAGCACCTCCTGCTCGTGTTCTACCTGTGTGGATGCGTGGAAGCTGCATCCCCAGGAGTGTCACTGGGTGCCCACCCACATCTCCTCGCTGCGTGAAACTCGATCGAGCTGTGCTCTGTCTTCTGAACACACCAAGAAGGCAACTGCACAGAGAAAATGACAATTTTTGTCAGGACCCAAGGAATTCATGCATGACCACACAACCTTTCCCCAAGGGTGAAGCTGTTCACCCTGCAGAAGCCCCAAGGAGCTGGGCCAGTGCAGGCAGGGCAGGGAGGCTGGGATGCTCCCACCATTCAGGTGACATCCAGAGTCATTCCCCTGCACCCCCTGGAGCAGTGGCAAAGCTCACTGGGATGGCAGGAGGTGTGTGCTGCTTATTGCCCAGCCTGTGCCTGGATGAACCACAACACTCCTCCCAGCCCAGAGGAGAACAAAGGATCTGGATGCAGAACTGAAATTAATACACACAAGCTCCCTTTTATAGAACGCAAGAATGGTTTGGCTTGGAAGGGACCTTAAGGTCACCCAGTTCCACCCCACTGCCTCAGACTTCTCTGGAAACTTCCTAAATGTTCCTGCTTTAGCTGGTGCAAACACGTCCTGAGGAACCTAATGGCGGAATTTAGTTTGAAATAGCACACACAAGCTCTTCTGAAATAAAGCATTTTCATGACTTCTGTGCACTTGAGCCAATTTATTCAGGCAGCCTGCCCCATATTTAAGAACCAAAGGTAAGATCCCCACATTAGGTGTCTAGTGCTAAGTTTTAAGGCCCTGCGCTTGAAAATATGTTCCTAAATATCTGAAACTCAGGCACCTGGAAATAAGTATTTGCCTTTGGAGTGAACAAAAAAGGAAAGCATCCCTGTATGTTATTTTTATTTTCTTTCCTTTATATGGTTTTAAGCTGCTTTTATGCGGCACTGGAAAGTTACAGCCCATGATTTGTTGCATTCTGGTCTGCTAATAGAAACATCCCCCTGACTGCTGCTCACTCTGCAGAGCAGGAGGATCGTAATGCAGATTGTAAATGGTTGCATTACGGGGAAGGATAATGTTTCTTTCCACTTTCATTTCCCTCGGTTGGTGTTTATCGTGGCAGGGGTTGCGTAAGCATATGAGAGAGAGATCATGCATTATTTACCAGGCTGGCACTGGGGAAAGGCTCCAGCCTTTCAGAGTGTGGATGGACGCCCAGCAGCTCCCACCTGCTAAGATTTGTGCTGTGTTTTGTGGGAGCTTGGCTGGAGGATTGTTCAAGCAAACAGGATCACCCTGCCAGCCTGGAGAGCAGCAGGGATGGGGCCGAGGGACACAGGCTCTGCTCTCTCTGCTCAGCTCTGGACACTTCATGGCAGTATTTATCTCACTCCTTGGCAAGACTGGACCAGAACTGCCACCAAGTCACCAGAACCATCAACCAATTCCTAAAGATCTGCTGGGGCTCCAACACACCTCAACAAAATTTCTTGCTCTTGAATGCAGCTGTGGGCAGACAAACCCAGAGATGGGGGGGCTGACACAGGAGGAGACACAAGCCTTTCCAGCCCCAGGATTGTCCCCACGATGCCACCGGGGCCAGTGATGCTGACCCAGTTTCTAAATGGGACAGGAAGTTGCAACACTCTCAAGTTTATTATCATTAAACTCTAACCAGGGTTACAGGCTCTGCTTGTCCCTGCAGTGCTACTGCCAGTGCACATAAAAACTAACAAAATCAGCCACTAAATGCTGGCAGCCTTGGGAAAGAATTTTTTTTAAAAATCCCAGAAACCAAGAAACAACCCAGTGAAACTACTAAATAAGGAATAAGTTAATGAGGAAAAATTAAAAGGAACTGAAGACTTTAAATACTCTTCCAAATTAAGGAGAACAAAGGGAAAGGATCAGCTCTTATTTTTGCAATTAAGGTGTTGTTTACGGCAATTTAGCTGTTTTAAGATTAAGCTTGGATACAGTGCCATGGAAAATACATCTTATTTACTCCCAAGACTTCTCATCAGTTTCTGGATGAGCACCAGCCAGCCAGCCAAAAAGCAAGAGGAGCTCTGAACTCCCTGTAAAACACCCTGAGGAGTGATGCCCACACTGGGCAGCTGCACTGTGACCACTGGGAGCAGCCACAGCACTGGCACCAGAGCTGAGCTATGACACCTTCAGGGCAGGAACCTTCCAAGGGTGAGAGAGAACTTTGTGTAGGAGCAAAAGGGAAAAATAAAGATTCTGCTTCTGTGTCTATGTGCAGCCTGCATGTGAAGAGGGGTGGGAAGAGGCTGCTCAGGGGGGCTCCCTGTGTGCAGGGCAGGGATGCAGCCCCATGAGGCTGTCTGGGGGCATTTACCAGGCAGAGCAAACAGCCCTGTCCCAGCAGCAAGGGAACCATCCCATCCTGGGACAGTGCCATCCTCCCCAGGGACACAGCCAGGGAACGCTCCCACGGGCTCAGGGGAGGGAGGGATGGAGGTGAAGGATGCCAAGGAGCCCCTGGCAGAGCCCTTTCTTCTGCACCACACTTGCAGGGGGGAAACACAGCAATGTCCATGACATCTCTATGCATCTTTGGTTGCATTTTCCTCCTATTACAGAATTGAAAACATTTGCTGAGAACTTGTATGAAAAACATTAAGACTGTGCACACTCCTTGTAGGATTCAGCCCCAGATGCCTTCTTGTTTTTCCTACATACAAATAAAAGCAATAAAGGAAATAAATAAAAAAGTATGTAAAGCTTTGTTAAAACAGTTCAGAGAGGAGAGAGCTGAAGATGGGATGATGCTGGGAAGACATTCAGCCTTGCCATGCTGCTGCTCACAGAGTCCCCTTTGAAGGAGGCATGAAAGGAGACTTTGCAACATGAGAGTTCAAACTCTGTGGCTCTGTTGATTTTTCCAGCCCCCCCGGCTGCCTGCCTCGGCATCCAGTTCTTTGAACCCACAGAGTAAATAGGTGAAACTCCCGTGGCTCTGCAGGCAGGAGATGTGCTCCAGGGAGGAGCACTGGGGGCAGGCAGGAAAAGCTCCTGCTGCCATCCTGGAGAGCAGCATGAGGCACTCAGAGCACTTGGGCTGAAAAACGGGGGGAAGAGAGAGAGGGAGGAACAAAAATCAAGAAAACCTTCCAGAGAGGAAGACTTCCTTGGGAACGACAGGGCCCCAGGACTTGTAAGTAAACACACAGCTAATGCCTCATCTGAGGATGGATGCAGGAGGATGCGAACAGGAATGTGACAGAGATGTGTCAGCTTGCTACCACCCAGCAGAGCTGCTGGCAGCTCAAGGGGTTTAACTGGAGCACCTGGAGATGGCAGGAGATAAGGAACATGCTGACCAGGGCCTCAGAGGGTGTTGATTTGATTTTATTTAAATGTAACTGACCAGAAGATTTCTCTTCTCTTTATTCGCCCTCTTTCAGCAGAAACATTTATTATGCTAAGTGAAATGTTTAACCACTGGCACTGTTGGCTGCAACAGCTCATCATAAGCAGCTTTAGCATTCTCTGGGATTGGCACCCTGGGGCTGGAGGTGGCGTCTTCCTCTGCCCAGTTATTCTTCCTCGCTCCTCTTGTCTCCCCTGCCCATTTTTCAAGTTGCAATGCGTTAAAATAAAAGTATTAACGGCGCTTATCTTTTGCATGGGAGACTGTGAGAGCAAGCTGGCGAGCAGCCAGGAAAAAAAAGCAGCATAAAGCAATTTGCTGAAAAAAAAAAAAAAAAAAAAAAAAAAAAAAAAAAAAAGGGTGCTGCGGATCACAGAGGAGTAAAAAAAAAAAAAAAAAAAAAAAAAAAAAAAAANAAAAAAAAAAAAAAAAAAAAAAAAAAAAAAAAAAAGGACATTGATTAATCTAGATTTAAACAATAAAGAGCTGAGGAAGAAAGAAGGGTTGTGAGGCAATTTTCTTTTTTGTCCCGTTCTCTGCTACCCTCCCCCAGCTCAAAACCTCCAGCCAGAGCCTCAGGCAGTCACGGGAATTTATCCGAAGATCTCTTCCTCTCTAGCAGCGGGTCGGTGCCAGCTGCGCGGCGGGCTGCGGGGCGGTGGGCAGCGCCGCCCTGCCCTGGCACGGAGCTGGGGCTGCTGCGGGGCACGGCCGGGCTGGCACAGCCCCGGCCCGCAGCGGGCAGCCTGCCCCAGAGCTGACCCTCGCCCGTGCCCAGGGAAGCGTTTTCGGTGCTGCTTTCCCGAACAAAGGGACATCGCTCTGTTGTTTTTTATTTTTTTTTTTTAATTATTATCTTTTTAATTTATTTCTCTCAAAGCAATGAAAGGAGTGCCTGGAAAGCTCAAGCAGAAAGCTCAGCCTCTTAACAGCGGCTCCAGAGAGCGCCGTTAACTGGGATTAAGAAAAGTCAACTAATGCTTCCCAGCGCCAGGATTCCAGCAGCACGGAGCCTCCCGAGGCGGAGAACCGCGGCGGCGAACCCAGCGGGCTGTGCCGGCTGCCTGTCCCCGCGGATGCCGTTCCAGCCCGGCTTTGTGAGCATCCCTCGCCCGCAGCGCAGCGAGGGGCGCTGAGCGCGGCCGGCCCGAGCCGCGGCCGCTCCGCCCCGGCGCTGCCCGGCGCTCGCAGCTCCCGCGCAGCACATCCCGCCGGATCCGCACATCACATCCCGCCGGACCCGCAGCACATCCCGCCGGACCCGCAGCACACCCCGCCGGACCCGCAGCACACCCCGCCGGACCCGCATCACACCCCGCCGGACCCGCAGCACATCCCGCCGGACCCGCAGCACATCCCGCTGACCCGCAGCACACCCCGCCGGACCCGCAGCACACCCCGCCGGACCCGCAGCACACCCCGCCGGACCCGCAGCACATCCCGCTGACCCGCACATCACACCCCGCTGACCCGCACAGCACATCCCGCCGGACCCGCACATCACATCCCGCCGGATCCGCACATCTCCCCAGACCAGGCGTGCTGGGGGAACAAGGACACGAGGTACCTGTATCATTTTTGATTCATATTCGTGGATAAATGCTGTAAATATGAGCCAAGGAGGTTTAAAAGAAAGTCACTGAGCCATGCAAGTGAATTGATTTGTTTCAGACAACATGCGGCTGGGCTGCATCCTTTTGCAAGCAGGAACATTATTTCTTTCCTATGCCAAAGACTGACTGCGTTTGCCCTCCCGTTTTACTTCTGTTGTGGAAGAAATTTAAGCAAGAACATGTATAGTGAATTGCTGAATTCCACCAGTGCCACTGAAGCTCACCTAATGATTCAGACCAACACGCCCTACCTGAGCAGCACTCCGAGACCCGTGAGCTCCTCTGCTCTTTACATGTCGACAGCCAGGGTGTTAAAAGAAGGGGAAATAAATAAGCCAGACCTGGTGACTTACATCATTCTATTTTTCTTTCTGTTCTTGACTGTGACATTCATTGTGTTCTTCATAAACTGCCAGCTGAAAAATTCTTTTTTTGCTACTCTTCCTTATGACAGATCGCTCAGGGAGGCGAGGAACCCGTGGAGGACACAAGCTGTCTGACACTTCTCATTCCAGCAGAAGCAGGCACCACAAGCCCTGTGCAAAAAGGAGCTAGTGCCATGTGCCAGTGCATGGATGTGACCCCCTTTAGAGTAGGGGGCAGGAGGAGATTGCTCAAAATCATGCTGTATGCCAATCTGAGTAGCTGTAAATAAAAAGCTCTGTTATGAACTGAAGAGAATGCTTTAGCAAATTTATACAGTTTTTGCAAAAAAATTGCCCCGTGATTCCAGATTAAGCTCGGTATGTATGCAAATGTCATCATCCACCCATTCAGTGTCCATACAAGGATAACTGTATTAACAACAATCTCTGATTTGGGCATCTGGTGGAGCTTGTTCCCCCATGTTTATGAAACCAAGCATCAAATGTAAAAAACCAGTGTGTTTACCTAACAGCTCCACAGAGATGAGTTTACTTTCCAGACCCGTTTCTCCCAACTGCTGCTGGAACTGCATGGTGATGCTGTGGGAGGCCTGTCAGGCAGGAGGAGAAAAAGAAAAATGTTTATTTAGGCTTTTGATTGTCATTCTGTTAAGAGTGTTTTTGATGTTTGAATGCATCATCGATCAAGTCTTAAGTTACTATTTATGTGAAACACTTATCACCTAAGGAATTTATTTTCATCTTTCATAAGCTGCAAAGGAAATTATTTGCCACAGCATGAAACCAAAATAATCAGGATGGGGAGAAGTGGGGAAAGAAAATTAATATATTTAATATTATGCAAACTAATGAAAAGTGTGAGCAGAATGCTCCAAGTTTGATACACAAAGTGGATAAGTTCTGAAAGCCATAAAACACAGCTTTATAGGAATAGTAGCTTTACTTTATCACTTCTTGTTCTTCATCTAAACCTGGCCCAGCATGAATTATCAATATGACAACAGCTTGATTCAACCCTGGTCACTGGCACCCCATACCATTTCAAATTACTATCTGATTTTGTTCTAAAATCAGAACAAAAAAAGATTCTGCTTAACACTGGTAGGTGACAATCTATTTGGTACATGATGATTTCCTGTAAACTTGCAGTTACAACACAATTCCAAATCAAGCTGCATGAACCTGGGAAGTGTCCATAATTCCCACAAACAGCAGGCAAAGTGCTTTTTTTTTTTTTTTTTAATATTAAATTGTTCAACACACAGGAGAATTGCAACTATCCAGAAACACCCAGTCCTAAACCCTGTTTTAGCTACACTTTTGGATTTTGGATCATCTGAAATGGGGTTCAAAGTGGTGTCAGATGCTGCTCCTAATCCTGTTCTTGACCTGCAGAATTCTCCAGAGGAGCTGTGTGTATAGATGTCTACATAACTTATTTCATCCAAAGGAGGAGATTTTACAATGCAATTACACACACATACAGGCTTGCACTCAAGAACACAGATAAAATGTGTATATATGGAAGTCGGTTTGCAAGCTTCTTTTTTAACCCAAAAATTGCACAGTTGATAAGACTTCCATGTCATTGGCTTTGTTACCATGTTTTATTTTGCTCCAATAAGCCAAACTACTAAATAACAGATTTCAATATTTTATTCCTGGATATGTGGCCAATATTTCCTCTGAACCAAATTTAACTGGTGTAATTCCAATTAATGCAGAAAGCAACAATGTGTATTTCTCTCCGCTCTTTTTGAATAAATCAAGTTTTATCAAATCAGGCATTTCTTATTTATTTTTAAATAATGACAGCATGTTTTCAGCTACCAGCCATAATGAGTTTGGTCTAAGAATTTCTGCTGGCAAAAGCCTCAGAACCTGGCAGAGCACATGTTGCTTTACACTCTTTATTTAAACATTCAAGAATAGCTCCAGAATAATCCTATTTTTCTCCACAGCCTGGTTGGAGTAATACTAGAGAAGAACCTGTCATGCTGAGAGCGTTAACTGATTTTCCGGGAATGCTTTTATCCATGCCCTGTGTTGCTCTCATCAATATCCAGGATCATTTCTATTGCAGAAGAAAGTTTCATTAATGATATTCAGAATCATAGAATCCCAGAACAGTTTGGGTTGGAAAGGACCTTAAAGATCATCCAGTATCAATTTCCCTGCCATTTTCCAATACCAAATTGCTCCAAGCCCTTTCTAATCTGACTTCGAGCATTTCCAGGGATGGGGCACCACCATAATTTTAGCCAATGTACAAAACATATATGTAGAAAACATTCTGTTTCATCAGGCTCAGGATTCAAGCTGACCAGAAAATCCACTTTCCAACCACAAGCACACCAGGGAGGGACTGACAGGCATTGCTTCACTTGCTGGAACTGCTTTATTAGATGTATCCCACACGGATTCTCCATCCCTTTCCCTCATCCCTTGCCAGTCACAGTCCTGCCCCTGATACAAACACACCGTTCCCTGCATCTTTTACCAAATCCCATTTTCTCAATGTGCCTTTTAAGAGGCTCTGAACACAGCCCTGCAGCAGCCTCCCCCTCCTGAGGGCTTTTCTTCAAGGCAGACTGGAGGTCAATACACTGCAACAGCAAAGATGGGTGACACACCAGGAATGTGGGCCACGAGGCTGTGAGAAGCAGAGTGCCCCCATTCAGAGAAATCCTCACTATTACAGGCTTTGCTTCAAAAGATGAGCAGCCCCTGTAACACCTTGAGGAGCATTCATACACTTCACATCCATGGCTAAGCACTCTGCTGAGTCAGGACCTGGGAGTTAAAGAGAGCTCTAACTCTCCCACTGGGCCAGGGAAACAACTCATCACTTCCACCTGGAAGTAGTAAGATGCTTGGAAGCTGATGACACCCTTTCAATGGATTATTATTATTGTGATATTTCATTCTGTTGTAATATTTCATTCTGTTTGAATGCACAGGCAGTGCCCTCAGGGAGTTTACCTGGTTCTGAGTAACCAGAGAGAAACCACCAGCCCTGTGCTCCTCTGGGAGAGCATTCTATAACTCATCCCATTGCTCTGAGTGCTGGGTTTGTTAACATGTTGGGGACCCAGCAGGACCCACCTTTCTTCTCATATTTCCTGCTCCAGGTGGGCTTCCCCATGAGCATTGGTCCTCCTGCACTTTCTCTTAACAAATGTCAGGAGCTGAGGGTTTTCTATACCCCATGCCACATGGCCATGACAGTTTCTGCTGGAAAGATCTCACCTGTAGGACTCACAAGTCAATGAAACTGCACAGCAAGACAAAAGGCAGAGAATAAATACTAAGAGCTAAATATTCCACGTCTGCCTGGGGTGTCAGCCTGGGAAGAAAGGCAGTGCTGCACTGCAAGGCTGCGTTGCAGGATCACACTCTCCAAACCTGTACCAAACCACTGGGGCCACTGCAATTTGTAACTCACTTGCTTTAAGGAGATTTTTCTAGCAGGTTCAAGTCCTGATTTCCCGGTGACATGCTGCTGCCCCACTCCCACAGAGCAGTGTGGCCAGAGCTGACCCCAGCAGACCAAAAGGTTCAGTTCAGCTCTGCCAAGGCAGTGACCCCACTGAACACTGCTCTGCCCAAGGTCCTTGCTCTCCTACACATTTTTAGAGCCAGGAGCCTTACCTACCTGATATTTGAAATATTTAAAACAATGGAAGATGTATCAGACTGAGATGGTGAAAGGAAGATCTTGATTGTGCTCACAGCACATTTGTTTTTAGGAGGTTCTTTCTTCCAGAAACTACATGTATAAGTAGATAAGTTTGCTCTAAATCTATTAATGCATACAGAAAGTCTCCCAGACACCAAGGTACATAGTCACATCAAGTTTCTTTTTCCTCTTCTTGACCTCCTTTTTGCCCTCCTGGTATCATCACATTCTTCCCTGCAGGGCTGAGCATCTGCATAGAGCACCACTGGTGAATTCTATTAATGGGCAAAGTCTGGGACTCCTAAGTTTGTACTTTTAAGTTTAATATACTGTACTTACCTCAATGTCTTAGAGAAAACTTAAGAATTCTTCTATTAAAATCTTTTAGTGACACTGCTCACCAGAGACCTGAAATCTTAGAAAAAACAGTTTCCATTTGGCTCTTACAGAAAAGAGCCCATTTTGTCTGTTTTGTGTCTGAAGTCAAAGTCACACACACAGCTCAAAGCTGTCTCAAGTGGCCCCCAAGTTTGCCATCAGCAGTTTCTCTAAGAGACTTCAGAAAAATCAGGATTTGCAGGAGTGACTGGGTTACACAGCACCTATAATGTAGTCCTGGAAATAAATTCTGTTATTGCAAACAACAAAGTTATTTCTCAAAAAGGAAAAAAAAAAGATATATTTATAAACAACAAAATAAAACTGGCCTTAGAATAGAAAAGCTGTTAATTTAAAAGGTGTGGGGTTTTTCTTCCAATGCCTTATGGAAAAAAGGAGCCCTGCAAGAAGCTGTTACAGAGAATGGCTGGACATGACCCAACAGCTTCTATCCCCCACAAAGTCACCCTTCAACGCCCTCATCTCACACCTCCACGGGAGAGAAGTAGTTATACAGAATTTGTCTTTGGGAAGGGAAATGTCACCTAAGCATGCTTATTTCTGAACACAAGTTGGAAGCTTATTTTCAAGCCCTAAGTCTGAAAAAACCCGATTTCACATTAATCAGCTGGTGTGTATAAATACCACCAGTCATGATGAGACTTTCACCTTGTCCTCGCTGTCCCACATCCCCTGCAGCAGGAACATTTCCGTGGCACGGTCCCTGTCTGTGCAAAGCCCACCTGCAGAGCAGCAGCTCAGCCTCTGCTAACTCACAGCATCCCTTTGGTGCAGGAACACCAGCTCCTGCCCGAGGCAGGGGGCTCCAGGTGACAGTGACAGAGCTGCCCGTGCCACCTCGGGATGTGCTGCCCACTGCTCCTCCTCCAGCAGAGCACATCAAACAGCAGCAGAGCTCAGCAACTGAACATGAAACGGAGCTGGCAGAAACCTGCTCTGCACTCCAGGACAGGAAAGATCTCTCCTGTCACAGGGTAGGGGACACTCCATGTTTAATTAGTTGAAATGACTCTGAGGTATTTGCTTTTCACATAGCAGTGAACAGAAGCAGCCTCTGACATTTAACACACTGTGTAGGTGGGAGAGAGGGTGGGTGGAAGAGGGCTGTTTCACCCAAAACTTTTCTTCCATCTGTAAAAATCCCATGAATAAATAATTTCAGAGGTTTCTTTTGTTACCTACTCCCAGAGTTGTTACTGTACCTCCAAATTCCCCAGAAAGACCAGTAAGATTAAAAAAACCCCAAAACCCTCTTCATTTCAACATTATTTAAAACTTTTAATAATCAAGGTATTTTGCTTGCTTGCTTTTTACTTAAAAAAACTATTAATAAAAATCCACATAAAGCTTCTAAAAAGCTAATAAGCCACTGAAACTTCATCTGAGATCTTGCTCAAAAAATAGGCTGTATAATCTGTGTAAGACTACTACAGTAAATGTTCTGGGGATTTTCATGACAATCATTGTTTTGGAAGCAAACCCATGAAAATAGTACAGTATCAAAAGTTTAATTAAAAAAATACATTTTTACCTGAGCCAATAGATTCTCATTCACAGAAAAAAGCTCTTATTATTGAGAAAATGTCAGAATTTCAGAGTAATTCTGCAGGTGGCAGTCTGCTGGTAAAATTAAATCCCAAAACAGGAAGCCCAGACAAGATAAAGTTGTATCAACATTTTCATTTCAGTTTTATACTAAAGAAATCTTCTGCCATTGTGGAATTGGAATTCAGTTGTTTTGTACTCATTCTACCCAAAAAAGATTTAATATATGCACACCACTTTTCACCCTCTATTTCTGCAGCATCTTTGTAAACAAGGGAAAAGTTTTCTTCCCCTCAATCTTTAAGAACAAGCTAATATACAGTTCACTAAAGTTCTAAATGCACATTTTATTGCAGCAGTACTTAGTTACAAGAGATATCTGAGCAGCCTTCAATTTACTGGAAGGCTGTGGGTCAGCAGTTCAAAGCCTGACACTTTCAGGCAGGATGAGTTGTTTCGTCACAGTTGGCCACAGTGGGAAAAAAAAACCCAACCACCTCCAATAGTCATCAGATTGCTGAGGTCTCACAGAAATACTTCAGTTGGCAGTACAAAAAATAGTTCTGTAAGTACTATCAAAATGATACCATTTTGGCCCATTGCATTCTACAAGAAAAAAGAACTCTTTAAAATGAAGTTATGAAATAATTTATGTCTCTGCTCCTGAGAGCACAACAGTTTTACATTACCAAAAGCTAGAGAAAAGTATTTTTAAAATTACAGGATCACCTTTGTGTGAGGAGGAATACACACATGGAGAGGCATCAGCAGCAAGTTACATGTGATAAATTAACCCTTGTAAACAAATACTTGAGACACAGACTTAAAGGAAATCAGAAGAATCTGTGGGGTTTTTGTTTTGTTTTATTGAAATATGAGCAGCAGTATGCAAAAAAATATCTTTAAAAACATAACATAGCAAAACCTAGTAATTTTAAAATTAACAAAATAAAAACATGTTTAGAGTTAAATGAAAAAAAACTCATTGATAGAACTGTGTTTTCTACAATGTAAACAAAAGCATAAAGGTTATGCTTGCAACAAACACAGAAGCAGATTTATGGAGCAGCACAAGAAAGCAACATTATATTGTAATCTGATGGTTTGGTCTATTGATTTGAATTCAGAATGGGAAACCCTCCTCAACAGAAACTTCA